TATATATATATATATATATATATATATATAAATATATATATAAAATATGCTTAATGTGGGTTTGTCAACACACAGTGGCGAAAAAATAGATGCAAGTTTGAAAAAACTGACAACCTGAAATGAAATATTTACATGCTTGTGGTTAGAGGAAAGGCAAATTGAAATAAAATCGCAATAACGGTTAAAAAGAATCACAATTTGGATTTTTTACAAAATCGTTCAGACCTACGGTAAACCTGTTGCTTTGTTACTGAAGGAAGGTAAAGACACTTGATCCAAGCCCTAGGAAATACTGTTTGACGTGGCTCCTCCAGAGCTTGTTGGTACTTTCTATTTTAACTCCCTTTGGAACCAGTCTGGATTGGCTTTAATTTTCCTTCTTTCGCTCTGACCAAGAGACAGAGAATAAAAAAAAAAAAACAGCAGCAATGACTCACTTCTCAATTGCTCTTTTACTGGTGGAGGCCCCAGAGAGCGCTGGGAGCCTGAGATTGAATGAGAAGCCGAGCGCAGTTCCTCCACGGACGATTCTGGGCTGTCTGACACCGGTGCCAGGGAGATCTGGGTGTCCAGGTCCAGGAACGGCGAGAAGGAGAGCCTAGTGGGGTCAATGTCCTGGAGCTGGTTGATGATGTCGCTGATCGACTCCTTCACGGTGTCCAGCTCCTCCGCATTCTGCCTGTCAGTGGCCTGAAGCTCCGAGGTGCTCATAGTCACGCAGGCTGAGAGGAGCAAGATAAGGAGCAGAGGAAAACCAGGCTGGTGTCAGCTACAGCCTGCAGACCTGGAAACAGAGCACTGTGTTAAAAGCCATTTCAGCTTTACTTCAATCTCTAATCACATAGCTTTATACGGTTTCTTTAAACAACTGAGGGCGACAGAAAGCTGCTATAAAACAGAAACCAAATCAGTCAAAAAGAAAAGAAGCAGAAAAGCTTAAAAATTAAAACCAAAGCAACAGATAGAGAACAGATCAGTGTTAGTGCGACCATTGTGCTTTATTTTTTCAGTTTAAGACTAACTAATTTGTGCTTCTCAATTTAAACTAAGTTCTTTGTAAGCATTTATATCTGTTATTTTGTCATATGACAATCAAAGTCTTATTTTATCTTAAGATACCTAATATCATGGGAAATTATTTTATATTAATGGGATCCTCACCGATTATTCGTGTTGAAACTGGAACTTCCCAGAGGAAAAATGCAGAGTTATTCCAGACTTCTACTCGGAAATAGACTAAATAATTCATCAGCTACATTTCTGATTTTGGTAAGGATTTATACGCCTTATGAAAGTTTTTAAACCACATAATTGCCTCCATCCATCTTCTCTCCATCCTATTCCTGTAGCTGAATAGCATCCCCATAGCATGAAGCTGCCACCGCCATGTTTCCCAGTGGGGAATGAAGTGCATGTAGCCCAAAACACATGGAGTTTCTAGTCTAATATGATCACCTTTTCCCTTCAGTACAAATATGTGAAGAGGATACCTTTCAGCTGACCAATCAAATGTTTTTCTCACCAGAGCTGTGGATCCATGTAGCTCCTCCAGTTATTATTGGCTGCTTCTTTAAATTAAGGTTCTCAGCACCCAGAAGTTTAGGTTTGTGTAGGTTGATGGCCATATCTGGGAGGTTTGACAGCTTTCAGTTGTCAGATGATGAATTGATTACTGCTTCAACAGGTTTACAAAACTGTGATGTAGTTTTAACACCAGGCTCTGCTAAGGATTTGCCCATAGCTTCATCTCTGACCCGTCTGCTATGTTTCCTAGTCCTTCCTGTTGAGGTTTGTTTACTAATGTTCTTTAAGAAAACCTCTGAGGCCTTCATGGAGCAGCTGTTTGACAGGAGCACTCTGTTTACAAACTACGTTACTAGCCTCTGAAGGCAATAGGTTCCATTAGGCATCAGAGTAAAGGAGGCTGGATATAGGTATTTGCAGCTATTCAGATGTTTATTGGAAAAAATTGGAAGATTAAAGACATGCATCATTTTCCACTAACTTCCAAAAAATTCTTAATGTTACGCTGATTTATCACACAAAAACAAAATGAACTGTGGCATATAGAAACAAGAAAAGTGAAAAATTAGTTAGGAATAATTTCTGAGGCTTTTGAATTTAAATGTCTTTTTTTTGTAGGTAGGGTTGTAAACAAGAGTAAGAGAAAATAAAGTCATCTGAAATATGTAAGCAATATAATTATGGAAAAATGTTATTTGAAGATAAAGACTTATTACTTAATTATTTTTCCTATAAGAAGCGGGCAGAAATAGAACCTCATGTTCTATTTCAGCTTGTTGTGTTTTTTGTAATGGAGGAATAGCTCATTTAATTTGGAAGAAAACAGCTGGATAGTGCTAACATTGCATCACTTTTCCACTGTTATCATCTCTGTCCTCTGTTACTGTTTAGTGACACCAGCTGTTTATTTAGAAGAGCATCTCCTGACAGCAGAGCATACATTAAGATATTTACATCTAAAGCTGTATGTTAAGATACTTGGTCATCGTGGTTGTTAAGAGCATTTTCCAGTCTACTATCTACTTCTAGAAGGATTGAAATGGTTTAATGTTGGACAAACTGTAGTTTCAAAGCATTTTTTGCAGCACTGCATTCGTATTTTAGGCTCCTTTAACTTTCAGGCATTGACTGATTAAGCCCCCAAATGAATGCAATATTTGATATATCTGTGCCAGGCATCGAAGGGGTGTGTGCTCAACAACTTGAAGGCCATCAGTTGGAGTTAACAGCAACCATAAAAGTTGCAGCTTGCGCTAACGTCAATAAGCACAAACAGGAAAGAGTGAGATGTAAAGTTAACGGAAAGATAATCCAAGCCAATATGCTTTCCTGAAGTCTTAATTAAATGTCTTAGAGATAAAATAGATTTGAATTACACTGTTACACAGCCAGTGATTACAGCTTGCTTCCCTGCAGCTAATTTAAGGGCCTGCAGCTACGCTCTGCCTCTCTCTTTTGCACAGTGTGTGTTTTTGAGGAAAACAAATTATGCACTTAGTGAGAACCAGCCGGTCTGTCTGCACCCACAACAAACAGAGCTCAGGTTAGCACCTGAAACTGTTTCATATGACTTAACTTCCCCGATGGGGATCAGAACCAAAATAAATGGGAATATGGTGTAAAACAACATTTTCAGAAACTTTTTTTCACATTAATGAAGCTGGGATATCTGAGTGAAAAGCAGTTGTTCTCTTATTTTCAAGATTTTCTGCTAGAGGGCAGAATTCATAATAAATGGAAAATTCTCAAGACCCTGAAGCCAAAAAGCAGCAGACCATCATACTACCACTGCCATGCTTGACTGTTTGAATTATTCTTTTTGAAATGCTGTTTTTTTTTTTTTACCCCAGATATAATTGGGTGCAAAACACCAAAAAACTTTCAACATTTGTCTGGTCAGTCGTACACAGAATATTTTCCCTATATCACCACCAACATGCATTCTAGTGAGACGGACCTTTGTTTTCTTTTCAGTCAGCAGCGGTTTTGGTCCATCTTGCACAGATTTTGTTTTTGTTCTGTTGCTTTCTGAGCTTAGCTGAGTCACTCAATGTCTTCAGTGGTTCGGATGTTGCTGTGGATTTGGCTACGACCTCCTGGATGAGTTGATGATTTCCTGTAAAAATTATTTTGGAAGGCAGTCCACTCCTGGGAAGGTTGCGGACTATTCCAGGTCTTTTTTTTTACTTCTTTGTGAATAATGGCTCTGCTAAAAATGTTCTAGACTGGGACAATAGTTAAAGTATAAAAGTATAAAGTAACCTTTAAAAAAAACAGCCACTCACTATATGAATTGAAAGCTCAATTTTTCAACTATTTCGAAAAATTCTTTGAGATAGTGCCAAGGATGAGGAAGGTCTTGTTGGTCTCTGTCTCCCGATACGCTCTCACCTGTGTCCAACTTTTCAGACATTTCAACATCTTTTTCTGAATCTGACATTGTAGCATGGCATAGACAATTCACGTTTGCAGTTTGAAGAACACCTGCTTGCTTCTGACGATTTACTTTAGCTAACCAATAAGTGTTTGCATTATATGACTCATCCATTTACAATAGTTTTCACTAGATGGGGATGGAGCTAATGATCTGCATTGGATGGAGCACATGACGTGAAAAAAATATTTATAAACATTTAACTGAAGCCAAGAGTAATGAGTAACGTTTGTTTTAAAAATGTAAGGAATAAAAAGTACAGATACTTGTGAAAAAATGCAATGAGTAGAAGTCAGAAGTAGGAAGAAAAATAAGTAATGGAGTAAAGTATAGATACCTAAAAAGTGTACTTAAGTACAGTAACAAAGTATTTGTACTTCGTTATTTGACACCTCTGATCATTAGGTATAACAAATGGGAAAGGGGTTTGCAAAAAGGGAAGTTAATCAGGAGCTTTTTTCAATAAAAAAACAAACAAACAAAAAAATAACTTAACCATGTTATATCCAGGGTGGTATACAGGGTGGTGTTGTGGTGGCTGGCGCACTACCACACCTAGTTTAGCCTTGGGCCGGCCCTGATCTTTAAATTGTAAAGTAAAAAAATCAAGTTTTAAGTCTTTCTTTTTAGCCGACGTCTTAAAAGAAAACCATAAAATGCTCCAAGCTGATGAAAGGCTCTGCCAGCTGAAAGTACAATAGCCCCAACAGGGCGCCTTTTGTGGGTCTGGCACCGCTTGAACCATTTCAATCACATCTGCAGATTGCGTTTAGAGCTTTTTCTCCTGCTCTTTTTTTTTTTTCTGGCGCACATCCAGCTGCGGTGCTGGAGTCAGCACGCAAACCTATTCGTGCACGACCAGTTTCTAAACAAATGAGAATCTTAGATGTATAGATTACAATTAGGGGGCCTACGGGCCCCGGGGGGATAAATCAGTGTGGTTTGTCAGAGCTGGCATATAGGGGGGTTAGAGAGAGAGAGAAAACAAAAAAAAAAAAGTTTTTTCCATGCAGCTGAGAAACTCTTAAATACGTTTTTGGTCTAAAATAAATAAGTTAAGCTTTGTTCAGAGTAGAAGTCTGCAGGAATCTTCAGATTTCACATTAAATGGATCTGATGAAGCGCCTGAATCCATATGAAGCGGTGCGTAAAACGCAAAGTCATTCAGAAATCACTCACCGGCACTCAGGAGCTGATGGGTTACATGTAAAACTCAAACACTGGTTTCAAATCCAAATCAATGTGCTTCACTGAACAGAAAAAAAAAACTAGTTTTCTCCTCCAAAATGAACTTACTGGGAGCTTGCAGTGTTGGTTTACTCCTCCGTCCTGCTTCCCTCCCCCTCGGTTTGCTTTTTGTCTTCCAGGATCCTGAACTTCTGAATCAAATTTCAGGACGGACAAATAGTAGGCTTTTCCTCCGCCCACCCGTGGTTTTCCTTTTTTTTTCTCCCCCTCTTCCTCCTCTCGGGTACCATGTCAGAGACCATATGGAGCAAATAAAGCCCCGGAGAGGGTCCGCTGCAGGAGGACGCACTTACTCTCAGTTTACCTTCAACTTTAGCAATCGCAACCATCGCACAAACAAGTTTGTCCAAACAGGACGGTAAACATTTACACTCAAACTAAACTCCAGCTCCCATCTAATATTCATTCACAGGATAAGTGTTTGTTCCGATGAAGATCTTGATTAATCCAAACATATCAGCTTCCCTGGGCGCTTTTCAGGCCTTTTAAAAGTACCATAAATTTGATTACTGATAAATATTTGGATTAAGTTTGGATTTCAACTTCATGATTTCAGGAAATGTGAAGTTTTATAAAACTGCACAGAGGTCCAAAAAAAAAAAAAAAAGGAAAAATCCTCACCAGTTCTACATAGTGGCAAAATAATCAGGCTGATCGGCTGCCATCAGTAACCTTGATGGTGGAAATGCAAGTTTGAACTGATTTTACCCTAAAATCTGAAGCAATCAACTCACAAGACATTATGCACCGAAACCCAGTCGGCCTCGGCAGATGGCCGCTCCCACTCAACCGGGTTCTGCTGGAGGTTTCTTCCTGTTAAAAGGCAGTTTTTCCTCTCCACTCTCGCCACTTGCATTGCTTGGTGTGAGAGATTGCTGTAAGTGCAGGTGAATATCTGCTACCACTCATCCAGGACGAGTGCATCTTGTAAATGACATGATGCAATCAGAGAGTTTTCCTTAACTAGAAGACTGGCTGATCCGGTTGAATAGTCTCTGTAAAGTGCTTTGAGATGCTGCGTGTTGTAAACCAGCGCTTTATAAATAATCTGGATTAAAATGAATTATGTTTCACATCATAAGGGAGGAGTCCAACTGCAGCCTCAGTTCTGCACAGGAGGTCAAAGCTGAAGCCAACTGTGGTAAAAGATCCTGAAAAATATACCGTAGTAAATATTTCATCCTTTTTTAAAAACAAAATTTTGGAAACCAATTTTATGAAATAAAAGAGAAACGGGAACTCGTATGGATAATGACCTGCCATGAAGGTATGTCTGGAAAGCTTTGGTGTAATTAAATAATGAACACACACAGACACACACAAAAAAAAATGAAATATGTTAAATGTGTCACAATTTGTATGGAGGTTGGTTGAGGACACAAATGCAGAGACCAGGAGGCAGAGGTGAATCTTGTAGATTTAATGAAAAAGAAACAGGCAGACAGCCAAAAATTCAAAAACAAAAACCAGAAAGCATCAGGAAAACTCACATGGAAATCCAGAGATGAGGGAACAACAACAAAAAACTAGCACAGCATGACTGCAGTGGTGGAGTATATAAGGGGAACAGAACAAAGGATGGACCAATGAGCTGAATAAGGAGCAGGTGTGAGAGGAACTAACGAGAGGGAAGCCAAGGGGAAAGGAAACAAGCACAGGGGGGCAACAGAGAGTAACTAAAGAATGCTTAAATATAATGGAAAATAAACGAAAGATCAACAAAACAGAATAACTAATAACTGGAAACTAAAAACTCAGTCCCAAAAAGGGGAGAACCATGAAAATAGCTCACAAAATGGACGCATCAGCAGCTATCGCATTAGAAAACAGCAAACTCGCTTGAAAATTGATGAACGCAGAAAAATTCTGTTAGCTGTTAAAAGGAATAATTTCGCTTCATTAACCGAAAACGACACGATCCAGAACTGAAAAGCGAATAAAATCGAATTAAATGGAGAAAATAAAATAAACAAAGCAACACAGTTTATGCCACATCTACCACAAATAACTCAAACTTCAGAAATAAAATCCACACATTCTCGGGTGAGAAATTGCTTTCTTCTACCCAAGTGGTTACAATTTCTTTAAGTAAAAATAAAACAAAAAACAAACAACTCCAAACGTACCTCCTGGATGTCCTCATGACAACCAGTAGCGTTGTTTATTGCTTCATTTGTGAGTAAAATGAGGAAGAAAATTGGAATATTTGAACTTTTCTTTCATCCACCAGGTGCAAAAGTGGAGCAAACTAGCTGCAGACATTATGACCACATCAACAGCGGCAACCATTAGCAAGCAGCCTTCAAGAATTAGAAACAGAGCACGGTGAAAGCTGTGTTTAATGAGCTGCTCTTGACAATTATTTTGCAGCTGTAATAACAGCTAAAACATGCAGGACTCAAATACAGCCCACAGGACTTCTATAATAGTTTTCCTCTATTTTCAGGTCAGTGGTTGTTCCTCCCTAATCAGTGGAACCCTCATTTTCCCAGGGTAAGGTGCTGGTCTGTTAAGTCTCTAAGCTTCTGCTGTCAGACGTTTCTCCCAATAGCTCAAAATCCCTTTATGAATGCTGACAGTATGAATTTATACTAAAGATGGAGACTCTGGAATCCTAGTTTTCATTTCGGATGAACAATATTTAGATTTGTGCCCAGTTAAATCCTGGTTTGGAGGTTTGGAGGACTTTCGAAAAAAGATTTCAGTCCAGATACAAAGTGAAGAACCATCATCAGATGGTTGGAGGAATTTTCAACCAGCTTTGCTTTAAAGTTGTTGGTTTGCATTGGATTCATGTGGATAAAAGTTAATTTGGAAAAAAGGGTGGTGGACCCATGAAAAAGCGGATCAACATGTGGTTTATGACAAATATTTCATGAGAGATTTGTTTTGAAAAGCAAAGTTAATGACACCTGGAGCTTCCCTGACCTCTTATTTAAATCCGTACTCGTATTCCTTCCTAATCTAGGACGGGTTCATGGAGGCAGCAGTCAAAGCAGAGACACCTCCTCCATCTCCTTTGGGGGAAGCCTGTTGAATTCAAGGACCAGCAGAGAGACAAAGTCCCTCCAGGGTGGACCTCCAGGCCTCCGCCCAGTGGGACGTGCCTGGAACACCTCCTGAGGGAGGCGTCCAGGAGGCAAAGATGTCTGAACCACCTCAGATGACTCCTCTTGATGTGGAGAAGCAGCTCTACTGTTTGACTGAGCTCCTCATGCATCTCTAAGGGAGCGCCCAGCCAACATGCAGAGAGCTAATTTCAGCAGCTTGTATCCAGAATCTTGTTCTTTCTGCAATCGTCCAGATTTCATGACAATAGGTGAAAGTAGGAATATTAGACCTGCTGGTAAATTGAACACTTCCCGCTTATCGCTCAGCTCTTTCTTTACCTTAACAGACCAGTGAAGCGTTTGCATTATAACAGCAGACTCATTGATTTGCTCTCTCACGAACAGGACCCAAAGATGTTTCAACTCCTCCACTTGAGGCAGGAACTCTCCTACACCATGAAGGGGACAAGCCACCTTTTCTGGTCAAGAACCATGGCCTCAGAGCGGATTCTCATCCCGGCCACTTCACACTCAGCTGCAGACTGACCCACTGAATGCTGTAGGTCTTGGCAAGAGGGAGCCAGCAGAACCACGTCTTTGGCAAAAAGGAGAAACAAGACCCACTGGTCCACAACCCAACTCCTGCTTAAAAAGGTTTGGCACCAAGTAAAGGGCCCCTGACTCCTTACACCTGAGCGCCCCCCACAGGGCACCAGAAGGACATAGTTAAATACCTTCTATAGGTCCACAAAACACATGTTGACTACGTGAACAACCACACATCAACCCTGTAGACCCCTAGAGAGAGTGTAGGGCTGGTCCACTGGTCCATGGCCAGATTTGCGTCAAGTTGCGTTTCCCTAGAGTCCCTAGTTTAAAAAAAAAGGAATAATAATTTGAAGGCTTGTTCAACACTCATAACGAGCAAGCCAAAGTACAGACAATGTTAAAGCTCAAACACGTTCTGGTGAAGTTGGCCCACTTCTCTACAACTGTGCGCTCATACATACACGCACACACACATACATTCTACTTTATGTAGTGAGGACAATGTGTTGACTCCTAATGATTTGTCATTTTCAAGCCTTTCTCTGCCCTAACCCTAAACCAAGCAATTACCAATGCATACCTCACCCTAACCCAAATAACACCATAGCCCTATACCAGGTACAGACTATATATATATATATATATATATATATATATATATATATATATATATATACATACATACAAACACATATGTAGGGCTAAAACAATTGGATTAATCATGATTAATGAAATAATCTTCCACTAATTTAGTGATTTATCATTAATTGGAAAGTAGAGACCGGAAGACATGCCTTTAGCTGACAGAACAAAACACCTTTAGCAGCAATTATACAAAAATTGTAAAAATATGTAAACATTTTGCGTTTAAGATCAAAATCTTTTTCGATCGGCCAACATGCTCTATGCAGAACTTAAGTAAATTTTGCAAAAAATCTTTAAGGAAGCTTTTGCTATCCAATTAAGATCTTTTAAAACAAAAAACCAACAACTAATACATTTGCAAAATAATCGTTAGTTGCAGCCCTACATATAGAGACAGTTAAGAAACCATTCCCTCTGTGTTAAAACTGGTTGAATAGTGCCATCTCTTTGAAGTAGAAGCATCTCCTGACCTGATTACTTGATAAACAAATTTTTTTGCCCATTAATGGTTTGGTTTGCCCTTGACTATTAAATTCACCAAACTAGAAGTCATATTTTTGAACATGCGTTGAACTGGTATAATGTCGTTTCAACAGGAATATATACTGATGCATTGGGTCATCGGGACAGCATTCCCCCAGACCCCCCTGTGAGGGGAAATGCATGAGGAACAGGCACTGACCCATCCTCTTCCACTTTTCATTCAAACCAGGAACCTCCAGACCCCCCAGGAAACCCCCGCCTTGTGTATACAGGTGGAGCTGCCCGCTCTGAACAACAGCTGACATCTTTACCACCAGTCATGTCAAAGTTAAACAGTCAGAC